GAATCCCCCAAGCTTAACTCCCGATACTTGTGAGGGAGTTAAGCTTGGGGGATTCAAAACACGGAAAAAAAGGGCTGTGGTACAAAATGGTATTTGGCTAATCCCCTATATACTACTTGATCTTATCTCTTATAAGCTCATACTGTTTCTTCCTCCTGTTCTCCTTTATCAGTCGGGAATTCTAATCTCTTCAGTCTCAGTATACGCAGGGTTCGATATTAGCCGAAAGTATACTGGTTTTTTCGTTCCTATGACAATATTTCTTTAATCGGTTAAAATCATTGTGACTGGACAACATAGTTTCTTTGCTCACAATGAAACAAGTAAAACTGTTTTAATCGCTCTGTTCCTCCATAAAACAAAGAAGGAAAACAGAGGAAGCCGAACAAAGACAGACGTGTGCGTACTGGAAGTGCTAAAGAAGTTAACACGATATCAACTAAATTTTGGAGTCAGGTAAAAAGTCAGGCAAAGAGTCAGCTAAAAGCACCAAAAGACCACGATGAGAACAAAAAATTATTAGTTTTCCCCGTTACCTAAGATAATATCATTGGTGACAAATTACTTTAGAGTTAGTTTATAACGTCAGCGTTAATTCATAATTTCAAATGTGAAATTAAAAAAAATGCCAAGGTAACATTTGGCGCGAAATTTCTCGAAACAATAAAGTAGTCAAACACCCACGATTGTAATCGTATTTTTGTCACCTATGATATAATCAAATGATTTACTCCTCTTTGAGGCCTGGGAAATTATAAGAATTTTGACAATACTCGCGTGAAATTGCGTGCATTTCCTCAGTCTCACCCATCACTACCTGATTACCCAGACTAAAATAAGGAAATATTCACATAAATCCCAAAGGAACAGAATTGTAAACACCAAATGCAATTAATGAGAGGTCTTTTATGATTGGCAACAAGTGTCTTTAGCTATATAACTGTCTCTTATTTTGCGTTGCATATTTTGTATATTGATCACTCTTGGGATAAGCGAAACAATGTGTTCTTTGTTCATCCGTTAATTGTCTCCTGTTTGTATTTCTTCGTAAATGAAATAACCTGGTTAATCGTATCTATAACAAAATTCTCTATCGTGATTGGCTCTCCACGCGCCTATTTGGCACTTAATTGGCGCGCGATCACGTGGGTGTCTAATAACAGGTATCCAGTTTGAACTTTTTGTAACTGCATACCTGTAATTAGATACCCACGTGATTCGCACGTCAATTACGCGCACTTTAATGGCTTCTTTCGCAATGTTTCGCACAGTTTTCAAAACTTACGGACAGCGCTACAGACGTTTTCGCTCAAAAGAAGTTCTCAAAAGACATTTTAATTCCGAAATTTGTTATAGATACGATTAATTAGTAATTGGACCTCGTGTCGTACAATTCAGGGAGTAATCGTGCTCTTAATTTAAAATTGGCCTCGCGCTTCACGCTCATCCGATTTTGAAATTACTCGCGCAATTACTCCCAAAATTGTACCTCACTCGGTCCAATTACTATTACTAATTTTCTGCAGATATAAGTGATATTCGTGATACAAGTCGTATTCGGTGAATGAAACCCAGGGGAGGGGAGGGGTGGGACGGGAAAAGAGTACTCCCTTATATGGGCTATA